GGAACTGGTTGAGCCGCAGCTTCTGCTCCTCGGTCGGCGCGCGCTGGAAGATCTTGCCCCAGTACTCGGCCACAGTGCTCGTCATGCCCGCGGGGTCGCCGACCATATTCGGGGGAACGGCCTCGGCATTGTCGGAGGCGCAGGGGGCAGAGTCGAGTCGCAGACCAGCGAGCACCATGCGCCGCCGCCAGGGAACCCATAGCTGCGCGTGTCTGGCCGACCTGCGCACCACCCGACGCCAGGCAGGGCTGTCGCGGTCGTTGGCCCGCCGCGCGGCAGCCTCGGCCGCCTGCGCGCGCAGGGCGTGCACCTTCGCCGCGACCGTGTCGAGGGCCTCGCCAAAGGCCCTTGAGTCCGCCACGCTCACTATCCCGCAGTCAATCAACTGGCGGGAGGCCAGAGCGGGACACGAATCCAGCAGGCGGGCCGCCAGGGGCGCGTCTTGGCGCCAGAGGGCCCGCGCCGATGTCTTGAAGCCCATGCACGAGGTCTCGGCGCTGCCATCCTTGACCTTCAGGGAGAAGTTGGCACGAAGCTGCTCCTCATCTCGAACCCGACGGGCAGCGAGCTTCATGCAAGTTCTGGTGGCGCGCCAACGGTCCTCGACCGTCGCCACCTCCAGATCGCTATTCGCCATCATCAGCGAGAACGTCTCGGGGTACTTCGGGCGAAAGAAGAGGTGCGACGGGATCGCCTGCTCCTCGCGCGGGACGTGACAAGCCATCTCAATCTGCAGGGCGAGGGGCGCGTGTCGCTGAGGCCGCGCTCCGACAACTCCATCGCATCGCAGGCGGTCGTGAGGCGCGTGGACACGGAGAGCATCGCACGCGCGTCAATCCCCAGCAAAATACGGTCAATCACCGAGAGCAGCTGGCTGGCCTTGTCGTCGCGGGCGGGCCACTGCGCCTCGATCTCCAGTGCTGCGCTAAAGAGACGGCGCCACGCAGGCTGGCGAAGTTGACACCGTTGATCAGGGCGCAAGCGCCAGGCCTCCTCTGCCACAGGAGACCGTTGGGATACAGCAGGCCGGTCCGCGATGTTGAAGTCTCCCGCGCCGATGAAGATGCGCCACAGGTGGTCGTCCGCGGACCAGGCGAAGGCATACCTCCAGGCCAACTCCACCGCCGCGAAGTCGCTTGCCGAGAGGTCAAAGTTGTGCACGTTCAAAATATTCATGCTGTCCTGCGCCGAGGAGTCGACGACGCTGAGGAGGGCGACCCGTCCAGGAACCACGATGTCGAAGGAGAAGATAGGGGCCGCGCACGACGGGGCTGCCGCAGCCAACTGCGGGACCAAGAAGGCGACGCCAACGACGCCAGTGGAGGGGCCTGTCGACAGAAATGAGAGGTAGCGCTGCGGCTGCAGCTGGCAGAAGATCCTCAGTGCGTCCTCCGAGCCGTGGACTTCTTGGACGAGAATCATGGCGCCCGCACGCATGTGAGAGCTCAGGAGCGCCAGCTTGCGACGACGCAACCGAGGGTTCGAGTGCAGCAGACCCCTGGCGTTCCACACCACCAGGTGCAGCCCGCGCGATCCACCCTCCAAAGCCGACGGTCGCCACGGCGACCATCGCGAAGTGCCAAAGCCAATCGGTCCGGTCTTCGAGCGAGAAGGCATTCTTGAACTGCTCGGCGATCGCGCCCCTGTCGAAGGCCAGTCGCGAGACCATGTCCATGTTCTAGCGGATGGTGGTGTCTGACTCCCGTCGCTCACCCATCTCAAGTTTGGCCAGCTTGACGCCCTGGGAAGTGATGATGCCGCGTGCACGCCGTGCACTGAAGACGTGGCCAGGCACCGCCTCGCCCAGAATGTTGGCGAACCGCCGCGTTTGCATTTCCATTCGAACTTGCTGAAGAGATTTGTCCGGAGAAACGTAGAGCGGGACGACACCACCACCCACCTCTTGGCACTGGAAAGAGCGCCATCCATTGGGGGCGGCAGGGTTGCGCAGGTGTCGAGCCAACGCTTGTGCACGAGGCATGGCGATGTCCAGCCCGCCCTCCACAAGGACCTTGAAGCGCTTGCCGGGGATTTTGGCGTCGAGGCGGGCCATGCTGTTGTCGAGACCAGCAGCCGTGAGCCAGTCAGCGATACCAGCTCGAACTTGGGCGGGGCCGACCAATTGAGGAGCACCCACTGAGAAGGTCCTCGAATCAGGAGGCCTGGCCCACGCCTCGAGCGCCTGGAAGTCGATGATCGGGATCCCCTTCTCTGCCATGGCGAGCGTCTTCTCGATGTCGCTGATCTGGGCACGCATACGTCGTTGCTCCTCGGCGAGGGCGCCCGCTCGCTCTCCGACCTTGGCGACGTCGCGGGCGTGAACCGCGAGCGACTTGGCGACGCGCACCTGCTGCGCCTGGAACATCCCCACCAGCTGGGCCTGACAGGAGGCGAGCTGCACGCGCGACGTCTCCGCCAACGCCGCGGAGGTCTGCTGCATGCGACTGTCCAGCAAGGCCTGGAGGTCACCCGAGAGCCCCGCAGGCGCGGCACATCCTCT